GAAAACCTCAGAAAACAAATATTGCACCTCCACAGGGAGGAAACCCACCATCTGACCAGGACTTATGAAAAACTTGAAGTCCAAAGAGCTTCCATTTTATGTGACCTCGCATTCCTACGCAACTGCCGAGATCAAAATTTAATCCCCATAAGCTTCCAATTGAAATTCCACGCCAACACAGCAGCCACCAAACGCATCCTAAAAAGAACAGAATTGGCCCTAATCAGAAATGAACTTCACACAAAAAGATTCCTCCTAGACCAAATCAACAAAGATCTCCTCACACTTCACCTCAGACTCAGCAACAAGATTCACCTGCACTTTGGGACAAATCCAAACAACTTGCTGTCTGGAGAGCCGAAACACAGACCACCCTCAAGACAGACACGCACACCAACAAACTCAGAAAACTACAACAACGCCAGAAACAAACTCCTCCCCCCTCACATCCACACATGAAACAAACAGTGCACAACATCTCAAACAAGATCCTCACCGAAGCCGAAACCAATGTCCTTTCGAAAGGATTCAACTTTGCTGTCGCTCCCAAACACATCCCCACAGAAACCATTATATGCAAAGTTGAAACCAGCCTGACCAAAACCAACCCTGATGATGCTAACATAGTCAGACTCGAAATCACCAACATCCTCTGCACCAGCAAACCACCCAAAAGCAACTTATCCAAAGAAGAACAAACTGCACTACTTAACCTGAAAGAAGACACCAGCATAATAATCCTACCAGCAGACAAGGGCAACGCGACAGTGGTTATGAACTCATCTGACTACCAAACCAAGTTAACCAACCTACTCCAAGACCCCACATACAAACCCCTAAACACAGACCCCACCACCTACCTAGAAAAAACCACCAGATCCAAAATAAAAGCCTCCCCCATCAGCGAAGAAATCCAGCAAAGAATCATACCTAGAGAGAAATCATCCAGATGCCCTAAGCTTTATGGTCTCCCCAAGATACACAAAGAAGGAACCTCACTTAGACCAATAGTCAGCTCCATAGGCTCACCTCTACAAAACCTAGCCAAATTTCTTGCAAAACAACTACAGCCCTATGTAGAATCCATCAATTCACACGTAAGAAACTCATTCCAGTTCATTGAGATCATAAACAAAACTTACAGCCCAGCGACCTACTGAGCTTCAATGTCATATCCCTCTTCACCCAAGTGCCTATAAAAGAAGCCTTGACAGCCATCCAAAACAAATACAACCTCCCCCAAGCACATCCTAGATCTGACCAACCACTGCCTATCCAATACATACTTCACCTACAATGGACAAAAATACAAACAAATAGAAGGAGCACCCATGGGATCACCCCTCTCACCTGTCATCGCAAACTTCTACATGGAACACTTTGAAACACAAGCTCTAGAAAAATATGATCAAAACCCAAACTCTGGCTCAGATACGTAGTCATACCTTCATAATCTGGCCACACGGGAAAGAAAAACTGAACAACTTCCTCACACACCTCAACAGCCTACACCCCAAAATACAATTCACCATGGAAACAGAAGCTAACAATCAACTTCCCTTCCTAGATGTCTTAGTATACAAAAAATCCAATGGCTCCCTAGGACACACCATCTACCAGCAGAAAACACATACAAACCGCTATCTACACGCACTCTCACACCACCACCCAGCACAGTTCATTCCGTAGCCGAGACACTCATCTCCAGAACAAAATGCTTAGCCGACAAACAACACCTAAAAACCGAACTACACACTCTCACTAATGTACTAACAGCCAATGGATTCCAAAGAAAGAAGATTACCCACCTAATCCAAAAACAAACCCCAACCAAAATCCAAGACAGAGAACAAGAGAACGGCAAAGCCCTCCTCCCATATATAAAAGGCACTACAGACAAAATCAGCAAGATCCTCCAAAAACACAACATTAAGACAGCACAAACAGAAAAATATCCACCATCCTAAGAAACCCTAAAGACAGAATCGAGTTAGAAAACCAAGGAGTATACGAAATCCCATGCACCGCCTGCCCCAACACATACATTGGACAAACTAACAGAAGAATTAGTGCACGCATTGAAGAACACAAGAACTCAATCAAAAAAGAAGAACCAACCTCTTCCCTGGTCCAGCATCTCAAAGCCACAGGACATGAGATTGACTTTAAAAATACCAGAACTATCGCCAAAACTCAACACTTCAACAACAGAATAATCAGAGAAGCCATAGAGATAGAAAAACGCCCACACAGCATGAATAAACGAGATGATACCTCCCGCCTACCAGCCATTTGGAAACCCACCCCCATTAACAAACGAGTACCTAACATGAAGAATGACACCAGACCCACGAAGGCCACACAAGATGCTACCACCACACTTCCACGTAGAAAGCAGATTCACACCCACACAGATGATGAGACACAACCACAGATCAGAAGCCGTACCGCAGCTGTATCACTACCCGCTTCAAACCCCTCCGACCCATACATATAGCGAACTGATGCCCAACATGAAGATGTGGCACGACCACGAAGGCAAAGCCAAACAACAGGATCACAGCTCACCAGCTCAAATCCCCCGACAACTAAGACTAACCTGAACACAGCCAAGCCCCCACCTGAACAGAACACACCCCCAGCCAATCAGAACACAGCCAAGCCCCCACCCAGTCAAGTCGCACTCCCACTGGCAGTTAAAAGAAAAAACAGCTGCAAGCTCACATTACTCCAAGAAGCACAAAGCCGAAGACACAAGCCTGAAGATGACGAATGAGATTTCGTCGAAACGTCGCCAAAATACTTCCAATTTTACGTGGGAGAAAACCCGAATAACCAAAGATCCACATACAAATACCCGCGAAAACCTCAGAAAACAAGTGTGTGTGTGTGTGTGTGTGTGTATTGATTTTTTTATTAAAAAAGAGCAACTTTTACCCAAAAGCAGGCAAAGCAGGCAGGCAGATTGAATTGCTCACAGAATCGGCTACCTGAGTCTGCACTGAAAAGCTTCAGTCCTAAGGAAGGTTCGGCTCTGCTTTTACATTAGCTAAAAAGCAAGAAATCCAAAGATTTCCTGCTTTCTAGCTAATCTAAATCTCCCGGCACAGCAGAACAGCTGATGGTTGGGGGAAAAAAAAGAAAAAATAGCAACTTACCAAACCAAGCAGGTTGGATGACTTGCATGCCAGGTAAGGAGTAAGTGGGCGGAGAAGGGCGAGTCTGTCAGTAGAGCAATTTCCCGGTTCTCTGAACTGGGGACAATCATATGTGCAGTGTTTGCAAGAAATCATCAGCTGTGCCGCCTGGACAGCTGACAAGCGCTTTGCTCAGATGTGCAGGGTTTGAAAATCTTCATTTTCTGCTTTTTAAACCTCAGCTGTGCCACGCAAAAAAGCTGACAAGGGAAAAGCAGGTGTCAGCTGCTCTTCACAGCTACAGGTTCTATAGAACTGGGCCGAACTGATAGCATCCCACCCCTGATGTTACTGAGTTTGGGTAATGAAACGTCTGCAAGAAAACAAGCTCAGAGAGCACCCCTCATTTCAACCCCAAGCTACTAATACTCTCCTTTATTTGCATCTTTGAACTATGGAGCAGCATTTCATCTCCAATGGTTATCTTTTTGTGCTAAACATTTATCATGTGATTTAGCTTTGGAAGCTATGTGAAGCAAGAGATATCAGTTTTTGACACATTCTATTGGGCTTCGCCACAGCTGGATCTCTTATTTGCAAAGAGAAAAAAACAGAGACAACTTTTGAAAACATTCAGAAAAATGGATGTAAACCCTCCCATAGTAAGTTAGCCAGCAACAAAATTATTATATAAGTAATGGTAGTCTCAACTTATAAAAGTAATTGATTCTGGAATTACAGCCACAATTCTTCACTGTTAAATGGGGTACTATGTGACAATGCCTCACTTATAACTTTTTTTGCAGCGGTCATTAAGTGCACATGGCAGTCATTAAGTTAATCTGTTTTATCCAATGGGCATTTTTTTCCTATAAGGTCTACTGTTCTTTCCAGCACTTACATTGTTTAACACTCTTTAATACATGAGGTAACAAAATTTTGCTTTATAATTACACATAAAAACCATCTGGCTAAGAAACAAATTAGCGTTTAAAGTTGTATGATTAAGATCTTACAATTGCTAACAAATCCAATAACCACACAGGGTCTCCCATTCTGTAAAATGTTAAAATCAAATGATCGTCTGCTCCATAAGCCAGACACAAAAGTAAGACCAATAATAAAAATCCCCAACAAAGCAGGTTCTGCTTACTGGAAAGGTAGCTAAGGATACCATGCTGCTATCTTTAGAGCAGACAGTGAGAAAACAGGATCGTTTATGGTCTGTATGTTGGTCCCTTGGCCAAGATGTCTTCTAACATGGAATGGGACAGGTTGATATGGCCATCATGCCTCTTCCAACTCATCATTATCAAGTTGTTTCAGGGCAACTCGCCAGGAGTGGCTGGAGAGCCAGGCTGGTGGGCAGGTGGGCAGAGTGCAGAGTAGCAGTGGTGGCTGGGGGCTTCCCACCAGAGATAGAGCCAGGTGGGTGAGTGAATGAATGTATGGGCACAGTGCAAAGTAGCAGTGGTGTTCAGGCCATGCAGCAGCGAGTTGTTCCCACAGCAAAGTGGCTGTGTTGACTTGTCCAATGACTTGCAATGATGAGCTGGAGGAAGCAACTTGGTGGTGGTGAGCTGGCTGCATTGAGCTGGCCCTGCCAAATTGTCCTAGACCCCTTCCAACATTAGCAACTAGCCACTACAAAGTAGGAAAGCTGACAACTATTTTGCACCTCCACCTGAGCACGCACCATTTTCATTACTTTGTGCAAGCTTGTAGAAATATATATAATTCAAAGACTAATATCACAACAGATATTATATGACAGTGCCAAGGTTGGAAATTGCTTTCACATCTCCTTTGAGATTCTAACAGGCTCTGACCATGCTAATTTCAATGTTCTTAATTAAAGCTTACCAAATTTGCAGTAGATTCAGCTGCATTAAATACTGTGGTTGTTTTGCACTCTGGATCTGGAAAGCAGGGAGAAATATGAAGTTGAAAGCAGCAGCTATTGGGTATAACTATTTAGTACAAAAACAATAAAGTTACAAAATAGACATTTAGGGAAATACTCTAGTCTCACCTGGAGGAGTATACAGATAATCTTCATGGTATTCTCCTTGAAAAGCAGAGGGTAAGTGCACTATTAGAGACACATATCAGAAGTAAATTTCATGTAAAATAAACAATTCCAAGAGAAAGGATGTAAATCTAGCCTCATATTTTAAATTATCCAAACTCTTCAATGAATTTCTCCCAATGCCTTATGCTTCAAATTTCACAATCCCCAAAATGTACAACTGCTAAGCAATTCTGATTGGACATCAAGAATTCTTAAGATCTGGCTGTGTAAAACTGGCTTAAACGATGGAATATGGTAACATCATTTGTCATATTATTGTATTGTTTTGTTAATCTATGTAAAACATTAGCCAGATACAAAGTCAGCAAAGTTCAAGTTGCTAGATACCTGGTTAGTCTATATAAAACCCCACAACAATAACTAGATGTAGCTAAAAGTTTCAGGACAACATACTTTGCTGGAAGGAAGAAACCTGTTCTCCAATACAGGTCGTCCTCTCGACTTAACAATCACAATTGTGTTCAAATTTCCATTGCTAAGCAAGATAGTTGCTAAATGAGTTTTACCCCATTTTATAATTTTTCTTGCCACAGTTGTTAAGTGAAGGGCTATGTTTGTAAGTCAAGGACTGTCTGTATAGTCAATGAAACCAGATAAATTGCATTACTTATTGCACTTAATTGATCTGTTTTAAAAAAAATACTCAATTACTCAAATTGTCAATCAATATATAAAATCAATTCAAAATAAATTTCTAAATGCTTAGAAAAACATTCAATGCTTATGACTACAAAGTGCTTCAAACATTTGGCATAGTAACTATATTGGAAAAGTAACATGTTTTTTCATGATTTATTTTATTTGTGTAACATATAAAAATTCCATTTCAATTAAACTGTGTATTGTCTGGGTACAATTGTTTTTAGGCAATCATAATCAAAGTGTTTACTATAGTATTCATCACAATAACATTAATACATGTACTATAATAACAGTAATATTTAGCTTATCTACTTTAACAAATCCCCATTTTGACATTTATCCTTTTTATGTCCCCATATTTCTAACTTCTGTTTTTATTATCTAACCATTGGTAAAATAGGTCACATATCAAAAATTAGTTTCTTCTTTGTCCTTAATAGTAAGTGTTAGTCTATCCATTTCTATACATTCTAATATTTTCTTAATTACACACTCATCTGTCGGGATCTCATACTTCCATTGTTCTGCAAATATAATTCTGGCTGCAGTTAGTACATGTAAAATCAAATATATATTCCTTTTGTTGTATTTTTCCGGCAGATGCCAAATAAAAATATTTCTGGTTTCAAGTCTATATGTTGTTTTATCACTTTTTTCCAACCAAGTATGTATTTTCATCTAATATTTTTTAGTTTGGGGCATGTCCACCACATATGGTAATTATGAACCAGGTATTTGATTGCATTTCCAACTTTTAGCAGATTTATCCTTATACATTTTTGCCAGTCTTATTGGTGTAAAATGCTATCTATAGAACATATTATACAAATTTTCTTTATATGCAGTTGATATAGACAATTTAACATTTCTATTCCACAATTTCCGCCATTTATCCAGTTCTATTGTATACCCAAAATTTTTAGCCGAAACTATCATCTCTATCTGCTCACTTTCAAGTTCAATACTTAATATGTAACAATATATTTTCTTTATGTGTTTTTCATCCATTCCAGTTAATATCTGGCCCAATTCTGTTAATTCTTTATTAAAACCATATATTTTAGCATCTTTCTCATATCGAGATTATATCTGCATTTGTGGCTACCATGCAATGTCCATCCCTTGACTACTAAGTTCCTGCTTAGTTTTTAGTTCCCCTTTTTCATTCAGAATATCTTTATATCTTACAATTTTTTCCATATTTTCCAATTTTTTCCAACATTAGGATGTATCAATGCTTCCATTGTGGTATTTTCAAATATTGTTATTCTTTAATTTTAACCCATACTGATAACAATGCATTTCTAACATTAATGTCTTTGAAAGTAACTATATATCTTATTTTATTTATTTATTTGATTTGTCAATCGCTTACAAGATAATAGGTATAAGGATAAACATAGTTATGAATACAAGAAATGAGTACATATTAGAAAAATAAAAGAAACAATAGGACAGGGACGGTAGGCACTTTGGTGCGCTTATGCACACCCCAAAAAGCATGCCAACCTAATTGAAGGTTGTGTCCTTCTAAAGTTAGTAGTCTTTGGTGCCTCAAATTAATCCATTCTTTCTCCCATGAAAGTACCGAGGCCTAATAATACAATTCCCAATCTGGCAACCTAAAGCCCCCTCTTTTTTTGGAGTCTTGCAACATTTTCAAACCTATTGTTTTTTTCCTAACCAAATGTATCTTATTATTATTTTATTTAGTTCTTCAAAATATTTTCCCCCAATTTTATTGGAATTGTTTGGAATAAATAGTCTTGGTAAAACATTCATTTTTACAGTAAGTATTCTTCCTGTTAATGACAATTGCAGATTTTTCCATTTCTCTAAATCTAGTTTAATTTGTTGCATCAGTTTCATATAATTATCCTCTAATTGTTGCACATTTTGCTGTTAGTTGTATCCCTAGGTACTTCACTTTTTTGATTATCTGTATATCAATTATTTCCATCAACACTCTTTTTTGTGTATCTGTGAGGTTTCCAACTACAATTTTTGTCTTGTCTTTGCAACTTCCCCATATTCTTCTTTCTTTCTTTTTAAAAAAAGGTTTTTCTTTATTAAACACACAAACAAAAAATACATTAAAAATGTTGAAAATGGTACAGTCTTCTTAACATCGATCTTTGTCATTACTTTGCTAAGTCCAATAAGAATAATACACAATTTCATTCCATATACATTAAATATACATATAATCATTCCTTATTCTCTTGAATCTTCTCTTCTCTAGCCAAACATAAAATTTGTCCCATATTTTATAAAAATCCAAATCCTCATTTTTTAATTCTTTTGTTAGTTTATCCATTTCTGTGCACGTCATAATTTTGCTAAGTATTTCAAATTCATTTGGAGTATCCTTATTTTTCCATTTCTGTGCGTATGCCAATCTTGCTGCAGTAATTACATGAATTATTAAGTAAATGATTTCCTTATCGTATTTCCTCATATTAATCCCCAACAGAAAGAACTCCGGTCTATGTTCTATTTTTGTCCCACATATTTCTTCCAGCCATTTATGTAGTTTATGCCAATATTTTTGGGCCTCTCTGCAACTCCACCACAAATGATAATAAGTTCCTTTTTCTTTATTGCATTTCCAGCATGTGGGGGAAAGTTTTGAATACATTGTTGCCAATCTCAATTTAGGTATGTGCCATCTATAAAATAATTTGTACAGATTTTCCTTAAACGGTATAGCTAAAGTCATTTTTTAATTCCTTTTTCATAATAATTGCCAATCATCTAAATTTATGCTATACCCAAAATTTTTCATCCATACCACCATCGTTTCCTTTACTTTTTCTTCTTCCAATTTAAATTCCAATAAGACTTGATAGTTTGTTTTTATCATCTTCTTGGTTCCTAATAAAATTTCATCTAATTTTGTCTTAGCTTTACTAATTCCCCACTCTTTCTTATACTAAATGACAAAGAGGAATTACAAACTAGACAAGATTTGTAGAACCAAGGAATCTATGGAATGGTGGGCCTATTTGCAACTCCAATCGAAATATCTAAAGGATAAGAAATCATAGGTGATGATTTTTCCTTGTCTCAATAAATGTGGGTGCATCAATGCTTCCAAAGTTGATATCCAAATAGGTGTTTCTACATACGTTTGTCTTTTTATTTTATTCCGTGTATTCAAGAGAGTCTAACTTTATGTCTTTGCACACAGTTATAGCCCTTTAGATTATCCTGCCAGAGGAAGGTATGCCATCCCGACTGCAAATTGTAACCTTCTAATGTTAATATTCTTTTATTTCTATGGTTTATCCAATCTTTCACCCAAGTTAAAATTGCAGCTCTATAATACAGTTCCCAGTTGGGTAGGCCAAATTCTCCTCTTTCTGTAGCATCTTGCAGCAACTTCAATTTAACTCTTGGTTTTTTCTTTTGCCATATAAAATTTGCCATTATTTTGTTCAAATTATCAATAAACTTTTTTTCCAGTTTTGGTCCTAGGTCCATATATTTAATTTGCTGCAAGATGAACTCCCATTTCACGTTGTCAAAGGCCTTTTTGGCATCTAAGAACACTAATGCGACCTGTTCACCACTATGATCCTTATAGTATTCTATGACATCTAAGGTTGTCCTAATATTTTTAAGCTGTCTATGAGGGAGGAATCCATTTTGATCTGTAGAGATAAATTCATTTTTTTTTAAATTAAATCTTTCTGCTATGATTGTCACAAAAAATTTATAATCGACGTTTAATAAGGATATCGGTCTAAAGTTTCCAGGGTCTGTTTGATCACTTCCTTCTTTAGGGATGATTGTAATCATAGCTTCTTTCCATGATTGTGGAATTTTTGCATCTTTTAGAACTTCATTAAATATTCTAAGCATTTTACTACTTAAAATATCCTGTTGCGATTTATAGATTTCCACTGGAAGCCCATCTGGGCCCGGAGTTTTATCATTTTTCTGTTTATTGCCCAGTGAAGTTCTTCTATTGTTATTTTCCGATTCAGGATATTTTTTTCTTCATCTGAAATTTTTGTAAGATCTGCTTTCTTTAAACACTCTTATTTTTCCCTCTGTTGGATATTCCTCCTCCATATATAATTTCTCATAGTATTTTTGAATTATCTCTCTTTTTTCCTCTTCTTGATAGCAGATCTCTCCTTGGTCATTTCTTAATTTGGTAATCCATCTCTTTTCTTTTTGTTTTTTCAAATTATAACCCAACCAGCAACCTGGTTTGTTCGCATTTTCGAATAAATATTGTTTTGTCATTTTTAGTTGGCGGGCTAGTTCTTCTTTATTAATTTCATTTTATGTTTTAATAGATCCATTCATAATTTGATTTGTTTCTTTTGTGGTCCCTCCTGTAGCTTCTT